GTCTATTAATTTTTAATATTTCATTGAACCACTGTCATATTTGCTTCTTCCATCTATATTTCTTTATTTACTAATTTATATGGCCGTCCATCTCAAGTACATGATTGGGCAGCTAACACTTAAAAACAGAAACAAGAAACAAAATTATAAATAGCATAAACAGCAGCCAAGCAACCAACCTACAACAACACAAACAGTCATCCCAGTTAACACAACCAAGAAATGGGCTCACCCACACCATCAGAGCCTCAGGCTCGATGGCAAAACCCTGTCTCTAAAGCCTTGCAAAAAGCCAGCAGGGTTGGGGCAAGTTTGAGGGCAGATGCCAGAACAGAAAACCTACATTTATTGTATTATTGTTGATACCTACAAATGTATGTTTAGCAGATGCTATCTAGATATCATCTGATTCCAAATATTCATCTCCACTTGATCAATTTTGTGTAACGTCTTTGCCAAGAACAGAAAGGATGGAAGTAAAATTTATTGTAAAGGAAATCCCAGATCTTTTCTCAGCAGTGTCACTGGGGGAAAACCCATGCAAAATAGAAATGTTAAAGACAAATAATTTTGCTGTAGATGGGTAGGGGGAGAATTCTAGGAGACCAACTGGAACAAATAATCCATATAGAACTAATATGATATAATGTATCAGGTGTTGAACAAAAACTGGGGAGACAAATTTAAGTCATCCCTCAGTTATGGAAGTTCCAGGGCCAGCTACTTTGTCTTAGCCTACCCTATAGGTTTGTTGTGGGAAGAAAACTGGAAGAGAGTGTTCTATACACCGCTCTGTGCCTTTTTATAGCACCTCTTTCTACTGTGTGTGTGTGTGTGTGTGTGTATTCTCCTCTCACCCCTATGGGTGGTATGTATCTTCCTCAATCTTGGGTCCTCTACCAGATGCAGTATCTTAGCTGTTCCTAGCACTGCACTCTTCTGGACACAGAGCTCTGAAGTTCTTCCTGGGATCTGTTGGAGCCACTCTCCAAGCTTAGGAGTCACAGCCCCGAGTGCTCCTACCACCACTGGGACCACTTTGGCCTTTACCTTCCACATCCTCTCTAGATCCTCTTTCAGGACCTGGTATTCTCCAGCTTCTCATACTCCTTCTTCC